TCGACAAACATTCATTCAAAATTTACTAGAAATTTTGACAAAAAAATTAACAGTAAGATCTAAGACGCATAGACTCCAAAATTTAATTAGGACAACAAACTTATCTTTACGCCTAAAACTCCTCATACAACAATAATACGGCCGGCTCTGTTGTACGGTGCTCCTCTGTTTGATTATGTCAGCAAAACAACTGGGAAAAAGTTACAATATTTCCAAAATGGAATAATCAGGAAAATAGTAAGAGGAACCACGATGCAGAGAATGAAAACATTGGATATACAAGCAGAGCTAAATTTATCAAACAGTAAAAGAATTTTCTAGTAAAACGAAAAAAATCATTTTTCGAAAAGTCTCAACAATTGGCAAACCTTTTTTCAACAACTTATTACCAGCCGAAATTCCAAAACTTTGGCAACAACTTACATAAGATAGATGTTTTATTAATTTAGATGTAAGTTCTAGAGGATAAGGTCAACTCAAGCCTGAGGTGAGCCCTCAGATGTAGAACAAAATACTCAGAAACGACAAAAAAAGCAAAATACACCTTACAATGCTTTTTAGCAGTAAAAGAACTATTAAGAAGACAACAAAAATCCAAGGATTCAAGACAAAGATAAATAAAAATATGGCTATGAAGAAAAAAAAAATTCACAGAACCTATATCCAATCTTTATCTTCTCAACTGCATGCTATAGTTCGATTAGTTAGCAGACCGAAGATTAACCCATGGCGAAGCTCACGTTTCATTATTTTGCCCCAAACCTCCTATATTACTTACATACATTGAATATCGATATCGAAATCTCTTAATTTACGGAAAGGGTTAGTAAATATTTTGTAAATAATGGCGAAGGGTTACGGAGAAATTGTTTCAATTTTATGCAAGGGTTCACTGGTGAGCTCTAATTTTAAAATCATTTATTCTACATATATTTAAAAATTATTCTTTATTAATGAAGATTATTCATTCATAAATTAATTTTATACAGGATATCCCGCAAGTAGAGGAAAATTCTTATAGGAGTGATGATAGCAGCACTCAAGGGCTACAAAAAAGATTACATAAATAGTGGTCCAATTTTCAACAGAAAAGTATGAAATCCAAGTTTTGTGTTTTTTAAATGAGTCGTTTTTTTTTTATTCAATCGATAGCAATGACTAAAGAAATATTTAATTTAAGTAATTATTTATAGCTTCATTACAGAACAATATAAAGTTTACTTTAAATGAACATTGAGTTTATCATTGTTAAAACCATTCACAGAGGACTTTTGAGGGGCTGAACTGAGCTAAGTTTTGTTTTTAGAAAAATCATAAATTATTCGCAATTTTTTTTTTCATCATCATCCAGCTATACTAGTATTATCCCACTTTGTCAAAAACCTCTTCGTTTAATCAGATCTCGAGTCTGCGACAAGACGTCTCGGCCTAATTGTCAACCAAGACGAAACAATGTATATGGTGTCTGATCAGCCTCCCCGACATATCGGTATCAAAGTTGCATTTGGTCCCTGCATGTTTGAACAACATATCTTGGCGCACAAGTGACATGCGACAATAGAATCTCAGCGGAGACGCAGAGAAGAATGATCTCAACGAATTGCTGTTATTATGGACAAAACCCTCACCCTAGAAATACAGAAATCTATACCCTCTATAACGAGCATGATGTAGTCGCCATTATCAAGGCAGGGAAGATTAAGATGGGCGGGATACCTCGGACGGATGCCAGAGCAATCAATCCCGAAGAAAATAATAACAGACCAGCAGTTCGGCAGGCACAGAGTCGGGAGACCCAGACTGCCGTGGTCGGACTGTGTCGCGGGTGACTTGGGTCCATTGGAGTGAGAAATTGGATGGCAGAAGCACAAATTAGAGACGTATGGCGATAGCTGTTGGAGGAAGCAAAGACCCGTTTCCCGTTGAGATTTATTACGGAAAATTTTGAGATTCAGCTCAAGTTTAAAAAAAAAAAAATAAGATATTTTTTATCCTGTCAAGTGAACGTACTCCTCTTTTCTGCATAATATATCATAATTCATTGTTGCAAAGCTTTAATTTCTTGTTTTTCCCTGTTTTTTTTTTTTTTTACGAAGCTTGAGCTGAATCTTAAAATTTCCCCCTTATAAACCTCAACTTAATTAATACGATCTTGAAGATAGTAAGACACTAAACGAAGAAGTTTTCATTAAAGTGGGGTAACAGTAGTACAGTTTGGTGATGATAAAAAAAAAATATGGAATAATTTATGATTTTTTTAAAAACAGAACTTAATTTAGTTTAGCCGCTTAAGTCCTCTGTAAATGATTTTAACAATGACAAACTCTATGTTCATTTAAATTCAATTTCATCTTGTTTAAAATGAAGCAATAATTAATTAGTTAAATTAAATATATTTGTAGTTATTGCTTCCGGTTCAAAAAAAAAAAAAATACGACTCATTTAGAAATCCACAAACCTTGGATTTCCTAATTTTCTGCTGAAAATTGACCCATTGTTTATATGAACATTTGTGTAGCTCTTGAAGTCTTCTATCACTCAAAGCTATCCTTTTTACGTGATTTTTAGATCTGCTATTCTTTTTACAACAATACAGTTATGAGTATTTATTTAAACTTTTTAAATAAGAGTGGTAAATCATTATTCGTTTTTATTGCTAAAATGTTTTGTAACGAAACGGAAGATCCTCAATAGATGAATCAAACTACTTTACTACAAAAAAAAAATTTTCAAGTCTTCAAAACTAGAACTGAGACAGAAACTAAATACATACCTGTACTTACTTAAACCTATATGGACATACTCCTCACAGAGATACTTTGCAGCTAAAAAGGGCCTCTTACAAAAACTTTAAACTCCCATAAAAAATATTACGACTCATAACTAAAGCACCTTGGTACGGGACAAACTAAACCTTCCATACTGACTTTCTTCTGTAATTGACCAACATATAAGCACTCTTCACGAACAGTTTAACAATAATTTACACTTACATACTAACATACTATAAGAGATATGACTTCAGCTGACTTGCCCATCAACACGAAGAGGAGATTTAGAAGGCGCTGGATGAGAGATCTCCTTCTTTAACAAACCATAGTAATTGATTCAAGCCAGGGAAGAAATACTGCTGGGTGCTATCCTTCTCCATGTCTGACATGTCATTTTCGTAACTTTAATCAGCAGTACTTTTCTCCCCTAGTTATTTACTTTATTATTATTTCTTTTTTAGTACCACATATATCTCTTATATATAATATATCTTAGGTAACTAAGTACATACTTAAATTTATTACTTATTTTTTAGTTAATAATTGATTGTAATAGTTCTTGTGGCATAACGTAATTGAATTATTGGCTTGTACACCATTATTATTCTTAGAGGATTTCGGGTTCCAGAATAAAGTTAATTTTTCTATTCTATCCTATAATAAAATTAGTTAGGAAATACAACAATCTTAGTTCCTCATTTTTTATTATTTTATTTTACTTGCTATCTAAACTAAATACAACCAAATTTTGGCTCAGATTCTTCATTTGAATATTTCCATAAATAATCACAATCTCTTGAAAATCATTGGATATAATAATTAGAAAATAAAAAATAAAAAAGTTTCAATGACATGCATTTTACTAAAACTACTGTTTGTTAACTATGCTAGTGAAATCAAGAAAGCTCATTTAAAAAAAAAATTAATAGGAAGGTTTTTCAAGTAAGATTGCAGCATTTGCTAATATAACATACATAAATTATAACATTAATAAAACTTACATTGGCAAAGAGAAATATATCTATATCTAAAACAAACAATTTTTCAACAACATTTAAAACTGCTTAAAAAACCATTAGAATTTTTGCTAAAATGATGCTCTTTTAATTTTAGCTCCACTAAAAAAAAAAAACAATTTCTAGATTTAAAATTGTGATATTGAAATGAACTTTGCGGCTTCACTAAACTATAACATTCTTCTCGTACCGAAACCTTATGAACTAAAATCCTACTAAAATTCTCATATCTCCATACTTTTTCTAAAATAACTAAAATATCCCATATCTAAATCTTCCCATATTTCATTTTGGCTCGATCCAGTTACCGATACTTTCATAAGTAAACTCCAGTATCATCAGAACCTTCCCATAGTTTCTGTTCAAACCGGCCCCAGAAAACTCCCATAGTTTCTTTGATTCCTCATAATCCTCCTAGGCGTCTGAAAAGGCGATGGTCTCAGAACCTTCTAATACAGAGTTGTTTTTATAATGCTACCAATGGATAGTCACTCTACAAAACTGTTTTATGTCACAGTTCGCAATGACTTGTTATATTGTTAGTTTTTACAATGTTGTAAATTTAAATAAATAAATATTAAAGAATAAATTAAATTGCCATTAAAAAATTATCATAATTAGTTTAAAATATTTTTAGAGGATTTCATATTTAGTTTAAAATATTTTGCCAAAAAAAAATGTTTTCAATTAATAATATTTTTATATTTGAAGTTTATGTTATGTATTGGACTTATTATTTTATTGTATGAATGGATTTTTTTATTTTATATCGTTTGTAAATATTATGATCCGATATCTGAGGGCAATAAGATACAATGGCATTACTATTATCAGTAATATTACATATAAAACATAAATAAATAAATTACCAATTAAAAAAATAAATTAGAATAAACAAATCTAGCGTGAAAAATGCAAACAATGGTGTAGAAAAAAAAATTAGCTCCTTTGAAATCGTACATCAACAACAACATATTTATTAAAGTAATCGTTCAGTATAATTGTTCGACCAAAGCGCTATCACAATAGATGTGATGCAATTGAAGAAACGAGATAATTTACAGTTTAGTGTGACTAAATTATTATAAGGATAAAGGTATATTTTTAACATTAGAAAAATAAGAAAATGTTGAAAGTGGAGGTAGGGGGATTAAAAATATAAAAAAAAATTTACAAAAAGTATAAAAATTTATTTATAAAAATACTTAAATAATTAAAAAAACTATCTACAGTCAGTTCTAAACACTCAATAGTGTTTCTTTGGAGGTAATATGTGCTTTGTCGACGTTATCACAGTAGCGCCTTTCGTAGAAAAGGAAACGCTGGAAGTGGCAGTGCCTTCGCCATAGGTTGGTTTGTAGCTTGGAGCGACAGCTTCGTAGCTAGGAGCTGCAGGTTCGTAGCTTGGAGCAGCCGCTTTGTAGCTACTTTCGTAGCCAGGAGCTGCAGGTTCGTAGCTTGGAGCAGCAGCTTTGTAGCTACTTCCGTAGCTAGGACCAGCGGGTTCGTAGCTTGGAGCGGCAGCTTTGTAGCTACTCTGATAGCTAGGACTTGCGGCTTTGTAACTGCTTCCATAGCTAGGGACTGCAGGTTCGTAGCTCGGGAAAGCGGATTGGTAACTTGGAGCAGCAGCCTTGAAGGTAGGTACTGAGGGATTGTAACCTGCGAGGGCAGGTTTGTAGCTTGGAACTGCAGCTTGGTAACTTGGAAGAACAGTTTGGTAACCTTGACCACCGTACTGGTAACCTGGATATGCGGGCTGGTTGCTTGGGAACGGCATGTACCCAGCTCTTTCGGTTGGTTGATAAGTTACAAGGGCCGGTGTGAAAACGGATGTGGGCACAACTGGCTTATTGCCTGATTCAAAAATTGGTACATATGGTCTGTTTTCTGGAGCTTTATATTTGGGTTTGTATTTCAACAGGGGGGACTGGTAGTTAGATTTGTAACTGGAGAGAGGAGACTCGTAGCTATTAGGGTTGTAGCTGGAGAGAGGAGACTCATAGTTAGGTTTATAATTTTGAATGGGAGTTTTGTAGGTAGGTTCATAATTTGGTAGTGGTGCATTGTAGCTAGGTTCATAACTTGGTTGGGGGACTTTGTAGCTAGGTTCATAACTTGGTTGGGGAGCCTTGTAGCTAGGTCCATAACTTGGCAGAGGGGCCTTGTAGCTAGGTCCATAACTTGGCAGAGGAGCTTTGTAGCTAGGCCCATAACTGGGCTTGTAGCCTTTAAAAGTTGGTAGAGACTCAAGAAAACCGGCAGATTTTTTACTGGAACTGCTCTCATAGCTGGAGCCTGACTTGTAATAGGATTGTAGCTCTCCAGAAGACTTGTAGCTGGTGTCTCCATGATCCAGCTGGGCAGAGTAGCCTCCCTTGCCATGAACGCTGTACTGTACCAACCTCTTGGAGCCATCAGCTTCTAATACGCTGTACTCCCCCTGCGTACTGCCTCCCTTCCTCTCCTCCTTTTGGCTGTGGACGTTCCCAGTCTTGGGGTCTTGGACAGCAAACTCGTAACTGTAATGTGGATCGTTACCATATTCCCCGTGAGAACTCTCGCGGTACTCGATGCAGCTCGCCAGCCCACAGGCGAGAGCGAGGATCAAAATCTGAAACAATTAAAATATTTCTTAAACATGGTGGTATAATTTTAAAGTAAATAAGTTTTTAAATACAAATTCTTAAACTATAACTTCTTCATTATTTTGATAAATTACTAGTGCCCTACAATAACTAATTTGCCCAACAAAGATATTTATTTTTAACGGAAAATGCAAATACATTGAAATAATTAAATATATAAAGACTATAGAAAATTCATAAATATGTAAAGTTCAAGTTATAATTTCTATTATTTTCTTTTGTATTGTAATTATGAACTGGTTCTCATAAAAATTATGATAACCTTCTCTGATTTCAAGGTAATGAATGAAAATATTTTTTTAAAACCCATCTCAACTAGCACTTTTTGAAATTTGATATTAAAAATTCTTAAACATTAAGCTTGATAGATTAAAAACAAATTTAAATTTGGTTTCATTTTAGATTCAAATAGTTTTTGAAAAAAAAACTATATTTTGTGGTTCAAAATTATGTTACTTTTTCTTTTTTTTTACTTTCCTCGGTCCAAGAATCAAACAAAATTAAACATCATTTGTAAATAAAACTGTTATAGCTAAACGTCTAAAAGATTATTATCCGATTTTTTCGTTCTTGTTTATTGGCTTTAAGATTGATCCATCCACGCGATGGCTTATTTTTTTTTGAGGAAATTGATTGAAAAATATTATCGTTAAAGTTCACTTTCATTACATTTCTCACAATCTCAAGGAACTAAAATTATCTCATGCCTGTCATAAATATCTTTTAAATAAGTAGTTAAAATAAATTTCAGATTTTTATTTTCCTATATTATACACCTCTGACTTCCACATAACAAATTACTAATTCTTATATTGTTATTTTATTTCAAATTAAAATTAAATTAAATTATTTTAAATTAAAATAAATACTCCAGAACTAATCATTGTATCTGTAGGGACTTCAGTTATCAGTTAAGTCAGTTATCAAAGTAAAAATCAATTCTGTTTAAAAAAAAAAAGTTAATTACTAACTTAGCACTGTTTCTCAATCTCCACTGGGCTTAGCCCCAATGACGCGGTTGAGAGAGAAGTGCAGGGATCTCCTGGAGTCATGCTTTTCCCTCCACAGTTGGAGGGACAAATCTGGCTCGGAGTTCTCTCGCCAGATTGTAAATATTGTACATAGGTATGTATGTGTTGTATATATATTATTTTTCTGTATAATTTATTGTACATAGAGTGTGAATGTGATCTCTGAACACTATTATAAATGTCAATTGAGACAGATTGTAATATTTTTCAATAAATAAGTTAAATAGAAACAAAAAATTACTATCTTCTGCCCACTGAACGGTATTTAAATTTAAATATTGTATTAATATATTACGATAAATTTATTTAAATATGTAAGTTTATATACATAAATATATATATTTAATAGCTACATAGAATATAATGATATTGAAAACCACTTCATTATACAATGATACGCTGAGTTTAACCAAATCGTTAGAACCGTTTTTGAAAACATTCTACAAATGTGTTTCACCGTTGATAAAAAGTGGCACTTTCGGTAAGCCGATTTTATAGAAAAAGTTGCTGTAACATCTCAGGTATATACTTATCTTAAATACGTAATATCAGTTTCGTACGACTTTTCGTTTTTGAGCTAGACTGTTCACATACACACAGACACACGAACCATTTTGAGGGACTTGGTTATTTGTACTCAGGGGACCTCAAAACGTGTATTTCCGTTGAAAATTCAGATTCGATAATTTTCAAGATCCCAATATTTTCCCTTACTATATATTGCATATATTGATAAGTGAAAGTAAAAAGAACAAAGAAAAAAAAACATTATGGTAACATTTTAAAAAGCTTGTAATAGCGAATTAATTAAATTAAAATTATTAACTGCATAAATGAATCATTTTGTACTCCATTTTCTTACTGAAATGTACAATCCTATATTATGTTTTGTCAAAACCGGACCAGCAATCCAAATAATAAAGTGCACCGTATTGTTTTTGGATATTAAACATTGCGTTAATAGGATAAAAGGTGATTGATTTCACAAGAGCAGAAAATTTTTCAGTGTCCATTAGGAAAGTGGACAACAAAAGAAGTCAGGTATCATACCATTCGCAGTTAAAATGGATTTCCCCGGTTCATAAATGCTTTCATCTCGTCTTGCCCAATGGCGTTCCAGGGCGTTGACTGCTTCGGGTGGGGGGAGTCTAGGAACAGCTAATGCAGTCATTTATCATCAAGTGGTCAACAGAAGTTAACAAAAATTTTAATATATTTAAACACAATAAATGTTTATTTAAAATCGTTTTATCATATTTTAAAAATATATGGAGATTTGAAAATATAAAATAATCTCAGAAAAAAATAAAATAATTTTATTATAAAAACAAAATTTCCAAGATCAACAAATATAACGATGATAATGAATACTGCGTTATTCGGGTATTTGGGTGGAAAACGTAATAAAATAAATATTTTACAGTTGGAAATAAAATTTTGACTTTTATTTTTAATCTGTTCATTATATCTATTCATTGAAATCATTATTTTCAATATTTTTCTGTTATTTCGGAACTACAAGTTTTTCTCTTGCTACTATTCAAGATTTTGCTGAACTTAAAAAAAAAATTATGAGATCTACCATTGGGTAGTATCTCCACAAATCTGTTCATGTTATTATCCTTGATTGTTCACATTTACTGAATGTATTCATTTATCACAGTTGTAAATTTCAATAAATAAATAAAATAAAAAAAATTATATTTAAAAGTTCCCTTGAAATAATTTAAAAAAATTATTACTATAGTTACTCAAACACACGACATAATAGTATCAAGTAATTCATTTAAAATTAATTATGCCTCTAACCTATGTCCAATTACAGTTTATTTCGCATTTAATGTAATCTTTTTTTAAAAAAATTAAAGTAAAACTTTTACCATAATTACCATAATCATAGAACGTTATTAAAAAAAAAAAAAAGGCTGGAGGGCGCAACACACAACTTTCAGTTACAATCTACTTTAAATAGAAATTATTTTCTGGCAACGTTGGTCTACTATAAAATTTTTAAAGTGCATTTGTAACGACTTAAAGCTTACAAATAACAAATCATTAAGACCATTAAAATTACAAAAAGTCTATTTATTATATCGACTGTAGGCAATAAAAATCTAGTTACTCCATCTGCTTTTATAAACCACATTACTTCAGTCTCTGAGCCTTTCAGTTGACAGAATGACTAACTCCAATATAGCTAAGTGAAAGTAAAAAAAAATCTTAAAACTTTTAAGAACTGTTTTTCCTAAAAAATTTCGCAGAAACTTATAGAATGGAATTTAAAATTCATTAATGGGTCAATCCCTGAAGTATAGATATATTGAACAGTTTTATTTCCTTAAATATTAAAAAAAAAAAATTTACAGTTTATAATATAGTTGCCATATACAATATTTATGTTAGTACAATTTAATTGTAACACTTATTTGTTTATTTAATTATAAGTATGACTGGCATTTTATCGAGTTTGGTGATTGTCACTTTGTACAGGTTAGAACAAAGAGACGAAGTAAACAAAATAAATAATACTAATTAAAAAATAAATAAAGAATAATGATTGTTTTTATTTATATTTATTATGTTTCAACGTATTGTAAAATTTGTGATCCTGCGTCAACATTCCGTTTGCGTAAAAGTATTTCATTTCGAAAGGTGCAGATCTGAATTCTTGACGCCTAATTTTTTTTTTTTGGTTATGCCCCACATAACTTTGATTTCACATGTAACTTTCAACTTTCTGAAATTGAATTCGCAATTGTATCCATGTATAGAATTATCGTGGACCAGTTCGTTATGAATGATACAATCATTCATGTCATAGAAAATAAGCAAGTTTTCATTAGTAGCTATTCTGTAGAATATTTCATATGGTTCAGTTATTATTAATTGATTTGAATAGATAGTAAATAACTTGTTTTTTTAATAATACTACATTCTGTCACAACTAAAGATATTAGTAATAGATATACAGGTGTTCATTCACACCATGTGAAGAAATAATAATTAAATATAACAATATCAAATACTAAAAATAAATATATATAAAAAAAGAAACTTAAAATGACCAAAATAACAAATTAAATCCAGGTAGTAAATAAGTATATTTCATTTCAACGAAATTCTATTGAACCAGTGTATCAGCAATATTAAAATGTTTTTTTTTTTTTAAGACTTCCAATATAATTTAAGGCAAGAAATAAGCATTTTATTTGTTTCTAACATTACTTTGTTTTATTTTATAGTTTTTCTTTCTAAATGGATGATTCCTTTTATTTTAAAATAAATTACTATTTCACTGCTTCCTGAATACACAACATGTATTTTATTTACTAAAATAGCTATTGAAAAAAAAGTTTTTATTATACTGTACACGCTAATAAATACGCAAGTGACGAAGATTTCTCCAGAAAAAATGAGTCACAAATCATAAATTTTAGTAAAACAAATACTTACATAACAACATTACATGTCGATTTCACATCAAACTCCACGGATATTAAATACAACAACCTCACTTAAAAATGACAAACTAAACGTTCTCTTAAATAAATAATAAAATATTAAACAGAAAAAATAAAATGAGTTTGTGATTGATTCTGGAATCAAATAAAAGATAAAAAATAAAACCCAAATAAATAATATGGTTACTTAATTCATTTTAACAAGTTTCTGTAAAAGTAGTAACGAAATATTTTTGGTAATTTTAATTTTTAAGAGACAAAAATAAATTGACCTACAAACATTATTAGGGAGTCATACTTTTTTAATCTTTCGTAACTCTGGTTATCTGGTTGCCGGGCAACCCACATAGCCCATTCGGCAACCCCGTCCCAATAAATAAACCGTATTTGAAAACAATATCATAATCCAAAAATAAAATAAAATTATATCTCTGATGATGGTCGTTTATATTATATTATATCCTTTTTGTCCTTCACCGTTTATATTTTTCCCGAGCATTGTTAAAGGCCGGAGATTAATGCCAAATTGAAAAGCTTCTTCGGCACCGGAACGTGAATTCCTAAATATTCTGTTATATTATATATTATGTATTATATAATATCAGAATATATATTCCATAAAATATAATATAATTATTTATAAAACTAGATTGATTAATTGTTAATATCATATATGCTTTCCTATTTGATATACATAAAATATTCATAGCAGAGATGCGCAAATGCTACTCCGTAGAGTACTGAGTACCTAGTATTCTACTCAGATACTGACTTTTCGTTTATTATTTTCAATAATGAAACATTGTGATCGACCGAAAAATTCAAAAACATAACCCCCTCTCAAAATTTGAGGTTTCACGTTTCAAGACGCGTAGAATTCGAAAAACGAATAAAAATTTGTTTGTCCGTCCGCAGTCCGCGCATTTTCTCCGAAACTACTGGACCGATTTTTTTCAAATTTTGATATAAAATCACAGGTCACCCGAGGATGATCCTCCTTCATCGACATTACTCTCCGCCTTTAACTTTCAAAATGGCGGCCGAAAAACCTGCGTTGCTATAGACTGTAGCTCCTAAACGAATGTACAGATTTCAATGAAACTTCGCTAAAGTCATTTTCTCGACGCCCTTTAAATTTATCTATATAACATACTTCAACGAAAAGAAGCTGGAAAAAAAGTTACGAGGGATGGTAATATTAAATTCTGAATAACTCGAAAAGTTTTTACTTTTTTGTGGATATTGTATATTATTTTTTAAGAGTTTACGAAATTTCCTAAAAAAATAAAATCGTTATAATCGGACAATTAGGAGCAAAGATATGGTCTCCGGTTTTTTTTATGTGTTCTATCCAAAATGTTATATCCTTGGTTTGGTTTTTAAATTTTAAATGTGTTACTGAAGTAATGCTATTTTTTTTTTAGCATATTACTAATGATTAAAGAAAAACAGTTTCGCCCAGTCATTGGAATCACCTTTTGTTTTTGTTTTTTCTTTGTAACTCGGAAGGTGATGTTACTTTAGATGTATAATTGTTTGGAAATAATAAACCATTGTGAAATAATTTGCAGCGTTTTTTTTTTGGTACCGGGGAATTTAATTACTACTTCATTTGATGTCAAACGATTAACTGAAGTAGTGATTAAATTTCTAATTTGGTAAAATGGTACTCGGTGCTCAGAGCAGCTTTGCACATCTCTGATCCATAGAATATATCCTATCCCAGAAAAAAATGAAAATAAGTAATAATGAAAAGAAGAAATAAGTCATATTGGTATGGAATGAAATGTTTCCGAAAGGTTCACAGTTGACAGCTGGTTCAGAAAGGTCCTTTCATCATCCTTAATGGAATTTCATTATATTGTGGAATTCCTGACTCGTATAAATTTAGGATAAAATTAACAGTTGGTCTTGGGTGAAAATGATCTCGTTTCCCAATTATAACCTGACGCCCCAATTTAAATTTCGAAACAATTTCGCCAGAATTAGCGGTTGTATAATATTTCTATGTTCCTGTTGATCCGTTAAATACGAGATTGACGAGGAGGCGGTGGCAGTAACCGACACTATTAATTCAGCCCAAATAGCCGGCGGTTTTCCACTACGAGGTCTGGTTCACCGTCAGGGTTAGGCACCGGACCGATATCGGCCATTAGCAACTTCATTTATCGATATCCTTCAGTTAATATTATTTTTATTTTTACCCTAAAACAGAGTAATTCAGGGCTATCTTTTGGAAGATGAGACAATAACTCATAGTTCTTGGAGTACCAAACGATAGCCCTGAGGATGACCCACACATTTGGGTCGAAACGACGGCTAACCCAATAATAAAAAATTGTGATTGAAATTCCGGACAATTTTTGTTTCATCCGTACAATTGATCAGGCGACTACACTTACCCATCTCTAAATAAAAAACAAGTTGATTGAGATTCAGTTTGGTTATTGTTACTATAAAATAAATTTATATGGGTGGTTCTTGCGAAAAGAAAGAAAAACGGAAGGGTGCTGCGTAGTCAAAAAAGAAGAAGCAAAGGATGATGAGAAGATACTGGGAGAAGAGAAAAGCGAAAATGAGAAAGGAAAAATA